AAATTTTTATTTTTTTTCTATTAAAGAATTGATCATTATTATAAAAACCATCAATTATTTTACTTTTATTTTTATTAATAAATTTTTTAAATAAAATTTTAAAAGTAATTTTTATATATCATATAATAATATAATAACAATTTTATGTAATTTTAAATTTAATTTTATGTAATTTTTTGTTTATTAATAATAATAATAATAAATCGTTTAACATTATTTACATATTTCATAATGATTTTTTAAAAAATAGCATATATTGTGCAAAATATTATATTCGATTTTAAAAATGAAAAAAATTATATTTAATGAAGGAATTTAAATTTATAAATTACTTTTTTCAAGTAATGATTCAATCTAGATGTTAGTAAGATCTTAGAAAAAAGGAAGATCGCATCGGTGCTTATGTCTATTTATATTCAATTAAAATAAGGAGATAAAGCAATGTATGTATATATCAGAGTCTCGTAGCCTCGCTTTAAGCGGTCGGTATTACTGGAACAAGAAGGTGGGCGCATCGATCTTCGCCAAAAAATACGACATATACACTACTATACAATTCAATGTATTCAAAGTAGTGCGTCGTCATAAAAATTTTCCAACAAAATCATTTTTTTTAATTAAATAATATATGAATCAAATTAAAATCATAATAATATGATTTATCAAATGTTGAAAATGAATCTTTTCTTTTTAGAATAATCATAAATATAAAAAACTAATTCTCAAAAGAATGTTAGGTTAAGCGTACTAATAATTATCATCACTACATCACAAGGTACCGGCAGTACAGTCATGTTTGAGAGACCGGTTTTATTTTATTAAGATAATTATTTATTTTAAATTATATGTCATTGATTAATTTTTAATACTTATGATACTTTAAATTTCAATACATATTCATAAATGAATTAATGTTCAAACATGATTAGAAATTATGAAAGTTGTATTAAATTACTATAAAGTTTGATATTATACGATATATAATAAATTACGATGATATTATATATAAATTATAGATAGATTTTAAGAGATAATTTTCAATTAAATTACGAACAGAAGAAATAATTGATTAAATCTGAGAGAGATAGCATGTTTCAACTTACTGAGGAATCTGCCTAAGATCGCCCTGCTTTCTGTTTATGCTGCTGCTGCTTGTGAACCAAATCTCAAGAAGTTTCTCCACTCCTTCAAAAAATTGCACGCTATCGGTGCTGTCGTCTTTGGTAGTTGCCATTCTTTGGTGGCACAAAATATTATTTACAATTACGATATATGTGAAAACAAACAAAAATTTCTTTCTTGAGTTTGTGTTTCGCTCCAAATATACGACAAACCGACCCTCTCACCCAACTTTGCTTTACTACTGAGAACAAGTGATCGAGTAATCATATTGGCGGTGGTTTCTATCTCTCTCACTCTTCTTTGCGTGCGCAAGATGGCGTTTTCTATCTTTTTCTTACTCCTTTGCGTTACGTTCTTTTTTAACTACTATCTCTATCATGGATGCGTGTATCCATTGCTCTACCAATCGAAAATTACTTTTGGCGCATGCGCATTAATAGATTCCATTTAAAGTATATTTATTCTTCAATTTTCAATAAATAATTTATATATAAATTTTTATTAAAATATAAATGCAAATTAAAATAAAAAATAATAATATATATTATTACATATAATATATATTTATATATTATTTTTTACTTTAATTAAATAATTATATTCTATGTTTTATTATATATATATTTTATTTTATTAATGATTTTTAATTTTATTAATTTTAAAATTATATTCTAATAGTTTTTTTTATATAAATTATAAA